TTAAGGAGCCAAATATACATGTCATATATATACACCTGTGTATGAAGTTTGGAGATGATTGAATAACTATGAGGATAGTATCAGCAATATACCCAGAGGGTGTTTCAGGAGGAGCATATGGTAACAGGTCAATAAAGTATAACAAGTAAGGTATCAATAGAAAGCAGTATGATACAACAATTGCGTGATATTAAGATCATGAAATAATATAAACAATTGACATCAATATCAGTGATTTGTTTTGAGGTCATGGTATTGCTGTAGCAAGACACATATTGTAGTGTCTATTATAGTTACTGCAATTTACACATTACCGATACATGCACAACATCAATGTGGTTGTAACACATCTAATTACATGCAAATCAGACATGAAATGAAGAAGTTATAGTCACAACAATGGCTGGCTAGAGGCTGTTAGAATGACATTACCATATCTGGATGGGTTGGTATAGCACAGCCACTATGATTGTGGCTATGATGCACTCAAAAGGGTGAAAAAAGCAATCAGGTGCCAGGCAGGGTCAGACACCATGTGGAGGAAGAGTGTGCGTCAGGCTCGGGTGAGGCTTGTTCGAGTTAGCTGCATCTGCCATCGGGCAGCAACTATCGGGATGTGATATGTCATTGCTTAGCTATTGGGTGTCATACCCATCTGTGGCAAGGAGACAATGTTAGCACATGAGATGGCACTGTCCACATCTCACACTGCAACAGTGGCAGAGAGTCGCAGATCTCTGCGAAGGGATAGACCAGAGGACTGAGAATCAGCTGCCGCCCCCGGGAAAATGAAGCTAGATTGACACAGACGGGGTGAGGTGTTCACCATCAAAGCGGCTGAAGACATCAACCACTTTGAGGGTGCGGAGGTCCCGCAGTGGAACTGGATGGTGGCACTTTGTGGTGAATTTGCGGAGTCTATGCTTGACATGTTTGTGGTCTGTGGTATCCCCTTCAACATCACTGATAATGTCGAGTTCAAATACTTCATGCTGCGCTGGATTCCGGGTGCTGAGATTCGATGTGACCTTGCTGGTCCGATCCTTGCAGACGCAGTGAAGAAAATCGAGGAAAGACTGCAGAACAGGTTGCAGGGAAATTTTGACTGGCCAGAGCGATGATGGTTGGTGGAACATTGCAAAGACTGATGTTATTACTTTGATGATGTCTGTTGATTGTGAGGTGAGTAGTACCTTCAAAGCATTTCAAACATGTTAGTGATGTTCCGGTTGACTGTCTGTCGTGCGTGGCGGCACTTTGCATCCTGTTACAGGTTTTTCCTCCTATCAGCACGCACAACATGAAGGGGAGACCAAAGACCGGCAATGAACACTAAATCATTGAGGCTGACATGGAGTGTATGCAATCAATGTACCAGTATCCTATTATATGGGTCACAGATGATGGTCCAGATGGGAAACACGCTCATTGTCTCCTCTGCGGAGAAGTATGACTGGCTGGTGACCGTTGTCTGTTGGGGACACCAACCAGTCTAGCCTCCTTGCCGGCAACTACCTCACTCTATTCTTCCACCATGACTGAGGCTTTGGATATCGTCCGGTGGTTCAACAACCACAGCCGTGCCCTAGAACTTTTTCATCAGGCCCAGCTGTGGACCAATCCGGATCGTACCCATCCCCTCGCTCTCATCCTTCCTGCCCCCACACGCTGGACGACTCACTTCCAGGCTGTCTCCCATCTTTCTGCCGTGGAACCAGCCATGAAGGTGTGCGTCATGAGGAACCATGAGAAGTTGCTTGAGATCGCTGAGAAGAGCCAAACCCTGAATTCAAAGGCAACAGCGAGGAGGGTCATTGAGGGTGTTGATGATAAGGAATTCTGGCAGCATCTTCATTGGTACATGGTGTACGGCTCAGGATTGTTATTGTCTAACATTCTCATTCATGTCACTGGTGGCACACCTCAAGCCCCTCGCTATCACTACAAACATCCTCCAGACTCTGCACACCCATCTTGACCACGTCCTTGTTACCCTCACCAATCTCTTTCGCATATTTGACAGTGATACTATTGAGCCTGAAGTCCGTGAGCAAATGCTAGCCCGTCTCGAGGCATGCTGGAAGGGGTGCTGGTGCGGAACAGGAACTCTTCATTTTGGCTGCTGTGTTCCTCAACCCGTACATTAATGGTTATTGCTTCAACTGCGAGTTCTTATCTGGTGCTGAATTCTCTCCATACCCACAAACTCCGCAGATGCTGAACAATTATTGTTCAGCCTGTTTGGTCTCATCCACACGAAGCGATGCAACCGCCTATACCCCTCCACTGTACACAACATGTCCCTCGTACGGATTCCCGACTCCGAGACCATGCAGATGCAGGTCACCTTCCAATTCGTCGGCTGAAGCGCAAAGCTTGGCACTATGAGCCTGATTCTACTCCCCAGGGCCCGGAGGGTCCGGAGGTTCCTGAGGACCCAGAGGCCGCCCTTCTGCGCCGCTGGAGGGGTGGCATTCAGAGTTATGACCAGGAGACTGAGATATGTGAGTCTCTCCAGTCCTAGACCCCCCTCTGGCTTTGAATTAGCATACACTTCACTGTAATTCAGATATTCAACTACTACAGTCGGTTATGCCCTATGACTAATTTCCCTGGTTCTCGGCTTCGAGTTCTGACCGGTTAGCCATTGACCTGACATGACTGACCTTTTACCCAACACTCGCTCTGACTGGTGACTGACGGGGTCAACAACAACAGTGTATAGTGTTGAACTCCGAGTGATTACTCGAGTTTCCTGTGACCCGTTCAAGTCGCGATTTATTCCCTGTGATGACCACATTGCATACTTACACCTCTCTTTACGATTAGTCGCTCGCTACTTTCCCCTCCGAGTTATCGGCGCTTCTACCACCATTTAATATTTGCGCAGTCTCGGGATTGAACACCCAACTTCCAACTGACACAGCAATTTTTCTTTTTCGCTTTGTGGATTCTTTGAGCGCTCTCTGAGGGCTGTGGCTTGGTCTACTGTACAGTTGCATAGCTTACATAATGTGCACTGTACAGACGGCGCTGTGTCGAGCTCTGGAGTCCTTAGACTTCACAGAGCTCGACATAGGTGTGTAGATTCACTTTTGTCAATATATAAGACTTCACAGAGCTCGACATAGGCCATTGTGATCGCTCTGAGGCGCACTGCAGCCAACAGCAGGATGAGACATTCAACGTGCTCGGGGTCTCAAAACGAGTAGCATAGTGGTGATGTGTCAGAATAAAGGAAACGGTGAATGATATGTACGTCTGTAGTACTCTGCAAGTCAATCGGAAAGCTCTGGCCAACATTGAACATAGTGGGTACGTGTCGCAGCAAAGCATTGCCTTCAGCGCGTCCTGAGGCGTTGACGATGCCGGTGTGTAGTGACTGCCAGAGGGAGTTCACCGCTATGCAGTTGTCCTGTGCTGGCCTTTGCTTGTTATGCTGAGGTATGAAGGAATATTCAAATATCGCTATTTCATCGGTGAATGGAAGACTTATGTGTGCATTACAATCTAACCTGACGCGAGTGGGAATGGTACAGTAGACCCATGTAATGATGGGAATGCGAGACAGTATAGTACAAGTCCCTCAAACAACATGTTGAACACCTACCACAGTGACCATCAGTGGACTGACGGCTGACCGGGCACTTGAACCAAGTGTCTGCAGATCAGCCATTCTGCTTCTTCTCCTGCTGCTCATACCAACTTTGCGCACAAGTCGTGCAGATGCCATGTGAGCACGGATAACTGAACATGCTGTCAGCAATGGGAAAGCTCGGTGAGAAACTGTGGTTGATCTTGTTATCACCCTGGCAAATCGGGCAATCCAAGTTGCCTCAGATCTTGCAACGCAGCAGCCTTGGGGTACATTAGAGATCATACATTTTGCCACATACTTCTACTACATCTTCAATGAACAGTGAGGAGGTGTGAGACTTTACCTGCTGAATTGTAGTGTCCTCAGCAAAATCCATCTGTGTGTTGCAAAGTGAGCTGGATGAGGCGCTTGACAACGAGGTTCACGTGACTTGAGGGGTGTTCAGAGGATGACCGCAAATTGGACAAAGGGTCGCGGAAGAGCAGGCGAATGCTGGTGCAGGATGATGAAAAGGATCTTCTTGAAGACCTGACCCTGCAGAGTGTGAAACACATTTGCCACAGTCAGGTCTCCCCAGCTGGAGCGAGGACGGAGAGGGTGAAAGAAGTGGTGGTGGTCACAAGTCAAGAGAACGCAGATTCTTTGACATGGGCGCCAATCGTGATGAATGGCCTCAATCAACTCAATAATTTCTGATGAATCTTTGCATTGTCCATGGTGATAACAGAATTTGATGCTGAGAATGGCTGGCTGCATCTGCTTCAATAGTGTCACAACCATGCTGAAGCCTGAACTCCAGACTCTGAACTTACATCTCCAGACATCCGGACTCCAGACTTACTAGCAGCCTCTAGCAGGTTCTTGTTACAGAATTTTCCATAGTTTCTTCTCTTGGCTCGGGACTCTTCTGTCTGGACCTCTGCTTGGATCCTTTATGCCTTTTCTTACTTAGGTTTTTACTTACCTTACATTGGTCATCCATTTCCATTAGTATTCTGAAGCCCAGGACTTTTAGTATAAAAGTAAAAGTACTGGCGCAGCAGGCATTTAACTTCAGTAGTTTGGATATCTTGTTAATCCAATGTTATTCTTTACTCTTTGGACCTCTGCTCTCCAACCTATTTTCTGGTCATCTGCCCCCGGACCTCAACTTTGCACTTAGATGTGAAGTCCCTCAGTTGCCTTCTCCCTCAGAGCTTGTTGTACCAGCTCTAAGTCTGAACCTGGACTCTACTCTGGACCCCAATCCAGTTCTCAAAATAGAGGACAACAACATTACTGCTGTTGACCTCCTGAGCAACCACTGTGTCGGTCTCAAAATGCCAGGTCTGACTTCCGATAGAAGGAATCCCTTGTGGTGGGCTCCAAATAATGAGATGAGACAACAGCTACCCAAGAAAAATAACACAGGCTGGATTTGAACCAGTGACCTCCCTGGTTACATGCTCAGATGCTCTATACCTCTGAACTACTGTGCATTGGTCAAGCCTGACTAAAACCCCATTTGATTTTGAACTCATCAGGTGTCAGAGTATATCATTCATTCATTCACATTCGCACTCGGTCGTTCATGATACCCATCACCGCAGGGCATTGCTAATAGCATTGCTGAAGTCCTCACTAGTGACACTATTTATCCATTGACCGGACTTTGTTATCACTCTGATTATCTTACAAGTAATGCGGCACAGTCCTAATAAAAATAGTCCATGTATGAACATGGTAATTTGCTCCATGTTGAATGCTCCATTGACAATCTCACACCAGAGTATCCTATCAAAAATGAGTGCAGGTCACACTAAATATCTATGAATAGGCACCAAGAGTGAGCACTTGGTAAAGAGGAAATCCAACAATTCAACATACCTCTTCCCTCAAAAACAGCCTCAAACAGCTTGTCTCCCTTTGAGGCCCATGCATGACCTTGATAAGCCATCTGGCTGTTGAAAGAACTTTCATCCACAAAGACAAGCTGTTCAGGCTCATAATTGATCCCCATATGAGCTATAAAATTCATATGATGCTCATGACTTTGCTTCAAGGCAACTTTCACAATCTGTAGTGTGTGGACTAAAGAATAGTGTTAGCTCCAAGCTCAGCTCTGGGACATGATCCCATGCCTTCTTGCTTATGGACCACATCTTGTGGATGGTTTGCCATACAGTGGAGAGCAAGACATTAACCTCACACATTTCTTGCAGCTGTGCCTGAAGCTTCTCATCTGGGGTATGCTTGAGGTATGCAGAAAGATACTACAATACAATCAGCATGTATCAGCAGTAATTCATGATATGAAGTTACTTCTCTGTGCCCCTCATTGATCTTGCTTGGCCAAGTGCCCTGCCCAGCAGCAGCATCTCCAGTATCATGAAAGTGGCATAGTATGTGCTGAACCATGCAGATGCTAATACCAATAGTCTTGCTGATCTCTTGACAGCTGAGCTTTTAGGCATAGTGCATGTGTACAATAGCCCAATGAAGGTCAGAAGAAAAGGCTTGAGTTCAAGCCATAGAGCGACAGTCAAGCACAGCAAGAGTTAAGACTGAAGGTATGACTCTGAGGTGCATGGAATGGACTTGGCACACTAGATGCTCAAGCTGGATAATTGAGAATGTTGCAGGTCCAGCTTAATCCACTAATACTAAACAGTAGCAAAGTGATGCTACTAACCCATGATATGTTCTATAATTCGCATACTTTGATATTGTGCTGTGAGCCTATGAGCAAAATGCAAAACTCACAGCCACTAAATAGGGTGCAGTAAACACCCTGAAGTCAAGGGGACATGCTTGCAACACTAGTATGAGGATAATGAAAACTTGCAGGGAAAAATGCACAGTATGGATTCAATTTACTATACACAGTTGTATAGTCAAATATCAATTGTGACAGTGTACTAAGCACCATGAGGGTACAGGCATATGGGAGGGTGAGTTGTGTACTGAAGAGAGCAGCTGAGAATACAACTTACCACTGTAAAGCCCTCAACACTACCCCCAATAAACCCCTTCACCTGTTCTCCAGACTGTCTGACCAGCCATATGCCAATAACTGATGAAATATGTCAAGGGGTTGCTGAGAGAGGTCACTGCCAAATTCAGTATTCTTATATGAAAGTGGTACCAGCACCTGCACATTGACAAGATAAATCAAACAGTGTAGATTTCAAGCAGAACAGATGAGAACTGATTTGGGGTCTTCTGAGGCAGGTGGATGCTTGTGACAAGCTGAGTGTAAACAGCAATGATTCAATGTCTTCAGTGTATATATGACATTGCCAGCCAACCAGGGTCAGACATGCAGATGCTTATCTGTCTGTCAAGTGAGCACTTGCATTGACATGCTAGTGTTTATCTTGCTTATATTATCCACTTAATGCTTCCTTTGCTGAAGTAACAACATGAGTAGAGGCTGTTCAGGTTCCATGCAGTGACACTCACTCAGTAAAGCTGTCACCAGCTTTCAAATGTGATTGAGCTGAATTGCAGTCAAATGGACAAAAAAATTCATATATTAAGTTGTCACACTATCATGATAAAGATTCTAATTATTTTGGTCATCCTACAGTCTGCTAAAACAAACAATGTTCAGTTCACTCACTTTGCATCACAATTTCCTATCTGAAATGTCTGGATCAGACATTTGTAGACATTTTCAGATGGTTGCAGATAATATTTAGATGTGTTCAGATGCATCCAGGATTCAGAGTTCAAATATCCTCTGCATATTTTCAAAACATCTCAGACCCACTATCCTATGGCATGCAAATGGCTCAAGGTCCTTCGGAGACCTCCCTACAGCTCATTGTGATTGCTGCTTGCTGTTTACTGGGTTTACCTGATTGAGCTTGGATATGTGTAGGTGCATTCTGTATATTGTAGGTATTCTGGAGTTGAGGAAGGATTCTGAATCTTGTATAGTGCATCACAGATAGCTACATCAGTCATCTAGCTTAGTTATAAGAGGTTATGAGGAGAGAGGACAGGGATATGGATGTAGTCAAGGTTCAATGGCAGAAGTGCCCATGTACACAGGATGCTGCAGATAAATTGAGAAATACTGATGGAGACCTTGTGAGCAGATTTGAGCTAAGGCTGAGTGCAGCTCCAGGTCACTTGCAGGGATACCTGCAGGTATTGTGAGCTGGAGATCTGGATCTGCAGATCACAGATCAATGCAGATCCAGATCAAAGGTTCAAATACCAATGAGCTGCAGATGAGGTTGAACGTTCAACCCTCACGCTTGCCGATGGAAAGGCATATGAAGCCCCAGAGCCTGACGCTTCACTGGGAGGGTGAATGTAATGGGCAGGTCACAGAGTGACCATGTTACAGTTTTCGAGACACCAAGACTGGCCTAGTCCACCGTGAGGTTGAGGAAAGGATAATAACACATGGATAATGGGACAGATAGTCCAACAGTTGCGTGTGGTGCAATTCCCACATGTTTTATTTTAAATAGTGATAAAATGCCTTCATATATATGTTTAATAGATATATTGCTTGTGGATCAAAGACAATGAGCTGGATCTGGAGCTGCAGTGACCTGGATGTGTGTGGAAGTTGATTGTATGAAACAACCCTCACCTGAGGCTATTGGATCTGAGTGAAATTAGATGGTACCTCAGTTGTTTGGGGTAGTGTTAGGGAATATTCCAAAAGACATAACCAGATAATACTTAATGATAGTCCCCGTTGGGACTAATAGTAGACATATTGTAGGTCTCATATGATGACTTGAATACGACTTGACAATGCAAAGTGGATCACTCAAGGATGCCTCACTTCGTGAACATAGATGTATGCGTATGACTTAGAGAGCACTCAACTTCAGAGTGGGAAGAGATGGGGGGGGAGAAAATCTTCTTTCTCATCTCTTGAGGGATGGGGGTTTATGTATTGTCTCTGTGGGAATTTCTACAAATATTGTCCAACATCATCTAAGCTATTGTGTCTGACTGGACAATAGAGAAGGAACAATAGGAACAGAATAATAAAATATAGGACAATAGAGAAAGGACAATAGAGACAGAATAATAGAGCTTAGGATAATAACATGAAGACAATAAGGGGAAGGGAATAATAAGTCAGACAATAGGACAGTAGACAATAGAGTGGAAAAATAAAGGAAATAGTACAATAGTGCTTGAGAAATTCCTCAAGGACAATAGGACTAGACAATAATACCAAAGGACAATAGTTGAATAGGGACAATATGAGTATTAGGACCATGTGCACAAGTCAAACTCTGAATGAAAGTCCAATAGTCCAAAGTCCAAAAGTGCACAGAGAATGAAGACTTTGGCAAAGTTATTGACCAACACCCTGAAGATGTGTTGATGTCTTTAATTTGCAGAAGTTCAACAAGAGGCCCTGGAGTTTATACCAGAGCAAGCTACAAGTAAGAGAGTCAAGCAGAGAGTTAAGAACAGAAACAAGAACAGAAGTCATGAGACAGAGGTGGAGGTACAATGGAGGATCAGATGGGGGTTGCAGGGAAGCCAGATAGATTGAGTTCCAAGTAGCTGAGTAGATGGATGAGTAACGAGATATCAGAACTGAGGAACTATACAACTGTAAGGTATGTCTTATACACGAATATCTGAATGTCCGGTCAGAGTCTGATAGGAGTAGAGACAGGAGGTGGAATGCGGATGTGACGAGGCGGAAGCAAACAATCAAGCCTATTAAGTATAAGTGATGGATACAACGTCATAATGTAGGCGGATGACAGGGCAGATGTCTGGAAGCAAGCGGAGTCTGAGCGGATGTCCGAGTAAGGCATGATGAGTAGAAACGAGGGTGATGAAGTCATAACTGGAAAAGGGGGTGGAGTTTTGGAGCTAGTCCTGTTGGAGTTGTGGCAGAAAAGTAGCAGGGATGAAGGACTTGAGCACGGGATGTGACAATGAGTCTGAACAATAGTCCATGAACAATAGGGGCATGCAAGTCCAACTTTGAAGTACATACAAATTGCACATCAATACAAGATTGATTCATCAGTCTTCTTGTAGTACTTGTTGAGCACCGCATGGCCGAGCAATGCAGCCACATGGACAGTGGGCTTGAGGTTTACATCAGCCGCAGCCTCAGTGAGCACTCCTTCGAGGAAGTCAATAACTGGGATCACTTCATGAATGAGAGGTGGCCGCGTGCGGACATATGTTCTGTGTCTTCGAGAAAAAACTAAGAGATGATGAGTCATGATGTGCGAGGATGCGGGACATGCACACTTACTTTGAAAATGCATTTGAGTTGTTTGATAGTCTTCCATTCATTGCCTGAGAGCTTGAAACGGAGGAGATGCAGGCCTCGCGAGGTGTTGTGGGCTACCTTAGAGATAAGATCCTCCAGCAGAGCCTGGAGCTCAAGGGCCTGCCAGCTTGCCATGGCAACACTGTTCCATCTTGTCAGCACAGAGCATATGAGGGTGCAAACAGGAAGAGAGTTCTCCCAGCACAGCTCTGCAAAGGCTTC